CACGAATACGATGATAGTAAAATAAGTAATAATAATAATAATAATAATAATAATAATAATAATAATAATAATAATAATAATAACAAGAATGATAAACACATACATGGCATATTGTGTCATGCGAACGTTACGCGCGCAGCGAACCAGAGGGTTGTCGGCCCCAACGGAGCGGCAAAACACGGCGTAAATTCTCGTTTCGCGGAGTTCTCGCGAGTCTTACACGTCGCCTAACACACCCGCGGCAATATCCCGCGGAACGAGACCGCGGTCGTCAACGTTCTTCTAGCCGAGTCGCGGATTCTAAGTGTGATAAATGCCCGCGACCGAGCTCGGCGGCGGTGGCATTCGCCCTCTTCACCTGGCGCGCTCGCGAACAATTTTTCTCCGGCACGTGTCATGCGCCGTGTAACTCGCGCATTTTCTTAATGCCCGCGGCTCAAAATGGGACGGCTATTGATCACCGAAGACCTATCTCCTTCGAAATAATTCCCGCACCGGATGTACCGCGCGACACGGGAAAATTAATGTCGTCGATGTCGTCAATTAGCGACATCAGATGCATCCCAATCAGTCGCCGTTTACGTTGACGTTTTGTCATGCGAGTTTCATTACCCTCCCGAGAATCTAATATCCGGATCCGTGAAATCCCCCCAGCCGAGGGAAAACTAATTTCAAGATGGCCGGAGTGTTTATCGTTAAAATATAATGCGGCAGAGGTGGGACGGGCCCTGCGACTATTAATCTTGCCGGCGAATTATGGAAAAAGAAGCAATTTCCTTGTAATTTGAAAATCGGCACGTAAGGAAATATCAATAATTTCGCTTCGACAGTCCATCTTAAGCTGATCATTCAAAAAAAAAAAAAAAAAAAAAACTTTTCCTTTAAATGTATAATATATGCATGATAAATAGTATAGCGCGCGTATTTGTAAAAAGTATGTCGCTATTCAATCATTCGAATGTGTTATTCCACGAAGCAATGTAAAGCGAAATTCTCAAGCAGGGTAGAATAATCGTTCTCACGAAGTTTCGCGTTGCCTGAAATGATATATACAGCGTGTTTCTCTCCCTCCCTCAAGTCCCATCCCCCGCGTGTCTCTCGTAGAATATTAATGGCGTAGGAAGCGCACCGCGGGAGAGAAAAAGCGTTCTATCAAGACGAAGGCTAATTCGCTCGTAATATCCTTCAAATCTCTATTCTTATCCACGGAGTAACTTTCTTTCCTATAATGCACTCTTCGAGCCACCGTGACGCTTCGGAAGCATTCATATCAAGCGCGATAATTCGCTATTTATAATAATATCGTTACCGCTCATAATGTAATATTGTTAAGGCTTAATTTTCTGACTTTAATATTCTATCGGAATAAAGAGAGTAAACAATAAAAAGTTAGAAAATCGACAAAAATTGTGCCCTTTTACTCGCCCGTCAAATTTGTTTTTTGCGAATACAGTCGATTTAAAAAAAATATTGTGTAAAAATATTAATATGAAAAAGTGGAAACTTTTGGTGGTCAAAAATGACTACTTGCTATTAAAATGACTACGTACTGTTAAATAATAATATGAAACCTATTGTAATTTCTCCATTCTAGGACCTGCGCACAATGGAGGAAATATTAGAAACAGGAATGAGTGTTAAATTTTGGAAATGAAAATTCAGAATAAAAATTAAACATAACATGCAACATAATAGAAAGTAAATATACAAAGATATAGCTAGTCCTAATTTTTATTTCTAAAATTTAACATTTATTCGTATTCCTAATATTTCCTCTAGTACGCAAATATATATATATACTAAGTTACTCTCTACTCTAATTAATAACTTAGAATCATAGCTTTCGCCAGTTTGTCTACAAATTTTGCATATTCACGGTCTTATTTTCTGTCTCGTTAACAAAGAGACAATATGGCGTCATTAAAGACGCGAAATACTTTCAAATAAATGTGCGACTGCATATATCGACTGTATTCGCAAAAAGCAAATTTGACGGGCGAGTAAAAAGTTGCGAATAACTGCGACAATGACCGGACTCACCTTATATGGAGCTTATATGGACGTAATTATGTCGATTCACGGTCGCGAACACAGACACGAATTTCACAACCGTCGATTGTTACGCGAGGCGCGATGGACTGAATTCAAATTTTGGAAAAACTGTCGCGCAACGGATTCGGAGTCGATTTTTACCTAGTAGCGACATCTTTGTGAGTGGAGTCACGTTATTATTTCGTTTCAACCTACTTCAAGCGCTCCGAAGCTTTGATTCCCATTGGTCGTCGATTCATTGGTTGTCACGAAAGAACGTACTGGTTTACCGGTCGCGAAGCGTTCGTCCATGCCCGCGATATTAAAAGTGTGGTTATGTAGCGCACTGCTTAACATTACATTCATTCATTTATGTCAAGCTGTAGGATTGTAAAGCAGGAAATATTTTCTTACAAATAGACACAACTTGTCTGTTTATTTGGGCAAAATTTATAAACGATTTTGAATGCGGTGATAATTTTTCAACATGGAAGTGGCTCCAATGGGCAACTTGCCGTAAGTCACATTTGTATTATTATTCTTATAGTTGTACACTTTAATTTTACAATTAAGGTTCTTACACGGCCTCTTTAAAAATATTTTACACTATTGTTTGATTAAAATGGAATATCTTATTTTAGAACGAAAATGTTATCCATTTTATTGATTTGTGAGGCAATATAAAAGTAATAATAATTAAGTAATAATAATTTCAGTTGCAGCAAGGATTTATGGTCCATAATATCCGGCACAACGTGTTGTTGTGCCAAAGAGACAGTCGAAGAAGAAATAAAAAATAGCACTGTCTTACTCAAGGAAGGACTTCAGTTTTTTAAGCCATATACAGATGCGTCGTTGCAAAGCATTTCAAAAAGGGATCCACCTCCTCTTCAACAAATGTATGATTTGATTAGCAAACTTGCTCCACTTCTTGTAAGTGTATTGTCATTGTAAATTATTTTATGAAATTTATATTTATTACAATATAATTTTGATGTTCTAATATCTATATATCTTTAAATCTTCTACCAGAATTTGGACGCCACAATTACTTGGGATCTAGTATGCAATTTTGTATCCTATGAATATAGAAATTGTGCTGAGACTTTTGCATCGCAGCTCTCTGATCTTACCGCCATAAGAGGATTAATTGATGATATTTGGAATTTTTATTACTCTGAAAGAGTGACTTTGATAAAATGCCTTAAACTTATGATTGAATATAAAGATAACAAAAGACATCCTCATCACAAAGAATTTTCCAAATTTTTTAATGAGATTCTAATGGGAAATCTACTTAAATCTATACAAAAACAAATAGAAGCATTAAAATTTGTAAATCCTCCTACACGATCGCAATTCTGTACAGAGGATCATTTACATAGATTATATAATAGTACCTTGATTGAGATGCGCGAGTTGCTTCATATACTGACTGTGATTGTACATGATGTACATATTCCTAGTTGTGAATTTGTCAAATTTTATGGTAGCATTGCGGTAAGTCTTTTTTATTTGAAACGTTTTCAATATTAAAATAAGAAATTATGCTTAAATAATGAAAACATTTTAGGGCGAACCTAGACGATTAGCCAGTACAAAGAACTATGAAGATAAGGAAGCTATTACTAAAAAACTAGAAGAGATTGAATACAGTCAAGTAGCATTATTACTAGTAACACTGGATGTGAACAAACAGTAAGATAATATAATTATTGTATATGTTTATATGAGATTTATATATTTTAATAATTTATTTATATATGTGTTTATTTGTGTTATTGTTTTTTATTTTAGCACTGGTATGGAAGACTGGATAAATAATGTAAAAAACAATATGCAAGAGATCTTTGAACACAAATGCATTCGTGAAAGTTCATCACAAGATGGTCCATTACTCCTGTCATGGATGCTAGCAAATTATGCAATTGACCCAGACAATATGGACACGTTAAATCGCTTCAGACCGTTCGGCATCAAAGCCATACAGCTCGATGTATTTCAGTATCTGCGAGATTTGATGAGTTGTGAAATGTTTCAAGAAGAAACTCATTATGCTGAAGTAGTACGGAACAGCGTTTACAATCTTCTCTCTTTGGTGTGCGAATTTATCGACGAGGATCGGATAAGTGCTTTAAATGGTATTTTTGATGCGATGGCTGCGATAGTCAAGTTTCCAGAATGCGCAGCTAGATTCTGGGACGAACCATACGACGGCATTTATTCGATTTATAAAGTTGCCAAAGAATTATATCCTTACAAGTTTGAACCTTTAACTAACATAGCTATTAGTTTGGCATCGACAACCGTTATGAGTGCCAAAAAGGTAACTGGTATAATGTCATATATATAATTCATTTCATCAAATATTTACTGTGTTACATAAAATCAATTATTCTCTATTTAGATTGCATCGGAATTGGATAACATGCAGACAGTGACCATAGAAGTTCCTCGTCAAAGAGATTATAATAGGCCATTAAAGCCATACGAAGCAGAATGTATAATTCAAAAGAATTCGTTTACTATATCACACAATTGCGTGTGCGTGAACGTTGCCATGTTATCCACTGAGAAAGAAGTAGTTTTATTTCATACGAAAGCAAGTTACTGGGACGCTTTACATCATAAAATAGAACAGTTATTTTCTCAAGCGAGCGGCGGAATTACAAATATCAGCGCGGTCAAGACTGATTTACCGAAAAATGTTCGTCAAGGCTTGAAATTGGTGGAAGCGTTACTGGCTAAAGATATTGATATATCATCGGGTATGGTTGTTCCCACAGAATTAAGTTTTGAAATTATTAATCGATTTTCATACCCGGTATTACCAGCAAATTTGTACAGAATTGTTGCCGTGTGCATCAGTATTTCATCAAAATTGGTTTTGAGATATCCTGAAGATATTCTCACGCGAATGCGATCTGGTATTTATCCAAAATTTAATAATTGGTATCAAAAGCCATTAGATTTCGCAGAAGCGATTTCCTTTGATGGTGGTCTTATCGCGTCATGGCTCTCAGGAATAGAAACCATCGAACATACATATCCTATTCTGCGCGCGTTTCTAGACACATTGTATAACTATTTAATCGCCAAACACAGTAAAGAAGCCATGTATACCATTGAAATACCAGGTATGGTGTTTCTGCTGCAAGCTGTGCTACCCAAGCTGGACTCGTGGTACTTTGAATCTAACGCGGAAAGAATTGAATTATGGCTGAAGAGTATGTTTTGCATTCATCGAGCTCTGGATTCCGCTTTACCTAGAAATGATATTCGTAACGAATTACAGCTCGTCGTAGTATACAGCCTACTCTACTTAGAGCCACGTCACGCGCTGCTGAAATTACTTCGGACGGGTGAACGTACACTGCACAATAAAATGATCGCGGAAACAGATTGGATCAGTGGAAAAGGATTCAAGACTATTAAAAGCGTAGAACTGGCTTTGTCGATAGTTAATCGACTGTTAATGTTTAGGAAGTCTTTGGGTCTAGAATTGGGCGATAGATCGCCCCTTGAAATTGCTTTATATTCCTCCCCGAGAGTGCCCAATGGTCTTCTTATAGTGCCAACTATCGTTAATTATCTGTACGTTTGGTTTAGCCCTTCATTGCAGAAAATGGCTGTAAGACTACTGAAAAAATTCGCGGAGGAATTCTCCATGTCTTTGCTCGTTTGTATGGGAATGGACGGTACTTCTATACGAGAAACCTTTGCATTTCGATTAACTCTACCAACATGCGCGATTGAAGTGAAAGTCGCTATCTTGGAATTGGTTGCTGTATGTTTGGAGAAACAACCTGGCTTAACGGAAGCTCTTTTTAATATAATGCATCAAGCGGAACGCAAAAGAATCTTTCCACGTCCAGCTGATGAATTTCTTACTGAAGGTTGCAGTCAGTTTATAGATTCATACTTAGAACGAATGTACAAGGAAGATGACATCGTGTGCGATAAATTGTACGACAGTACGATGACAGTATTACGCGCCATGTGGTATCACAGAAATGAGATTCTTGTGAATTTCTTTCGGAAACGAGAGAAATTCTGGAGTCACCTATTCGCGCCACTTTTCAAAACTTTAGTACCAGGTGCAAAGGGTTATTCTCAATTGTTGGATGTAATTACGTTAGAATTGTACAAAAGCCCATTACTGGAGAATAATTTCTCGAAAAGTCTAAAAGAGCTTTTAGACAAGTCAAAGGATCATTGGAAAAAATTAGCTATGTATATTCTCGATATTTCCACAAACGGCGAAGATGAAAACGGTAAAGAACGTACAAGACAAGACAGACTCATAGAACCGTTGTATGAAATTAATTTAGAGTCTTGGTATCACTTCATCGTTATGCTCACTGATGATCGAACGGCGAAGAATTATCCAATCAACGTAACTCAAGCGCATCTCTTAACCCAATTGGCTTTAGATTCTCTACTGGAGCGAGTGAAAGAACCCAACGATTCTAGTAGCGGTAAAATTCCGATGTTGTTGGCTTCCTTGTCTCTAAGATGCATCACATCCTGGAAGCAAATGTGTGTTGGCGACTCAAGAATCTTCAAGACCAGGCTGTCGCAGCTCACGCAAGAAATAGCGCAGACTTATCGTGGCTTTGGAAAGGCATTACGGCAGACGATGATCTCGTTATTACTTGGATGCGTGCAACTGGTCAAAAGTACCTTAGCCGAAGATTCGGCGAGTTTGGAGTATCTCCTAGCGCACTCCTGCACGATCGCCATTTGTGAACTAGAGGAATTGAAAGAAGCTGCCCTTCAATTGGAACATCGAAAGCAGCAACTTTCCGTTAATCTCTCCAAAATCGACGAGAAAGTTACACGGAAGAAAGCTGATTGTCATAGCGCCGAGACACTTCGTGGTATACGAGAAAGCCTACCGGCAACATTAGCTATCAGCATGGTGACGCAACTGTTGCGATCGTACGTCGAACGGAATGCAAATTTCAAACATCGTCTAAGAGCTAGTTGCGTGCAGCTTCGCCAGATGATGCCCGAACTAATGATGTGTACCTGTTATACGCTTCAGAAGTATCCGTATCTAAAATTCAGTACGGCAGCTCTGAGTTTATTAGGCGTTATATCGCGTTCGCCCTACTGTCCGTATCCTATCAACGACAACGACATCGCGAAACTCTGGCTCAATCTGATCCCACCAGCAGACATCTCCAACAGTATGCTCGATTCGCTGTACAACGATTCGCCAAATGGTCAGTGGCGTTGCCAGGATTGGTGGCCGTTGTACACATTAGGCTTAGAATTCCTGATAGGTCTGATCAACAGCGAGACGAGCATGATGTTCATTAATCATGTGGTTGTTTTCTTAAACTCTCATGAACACCAATTAATGGTAGTGTCCACATTATTGAGGCACACCGCTGATCTGCTGGCTGCCGATTTGATACAATCATTGGTCGCTCTCATACATACCATAGCTACGGAAACGTACGTTTGGAACGCGATCCAGCCGAATATTCGCGAGACTCTTATCAAGTGCATGTACTTGGCGTACGATAGTACGGTGAACTTGTTGCTCAGGCCGCGGATACTCAAATTCATCATTGATGGTATCAGTGTGGAAAGCGCCGAAGAACTCGAATCCTGTGACAATCGGTTACCCAGCGGCGAGTTGAAGCTACTGGTAAACAAACTGATTGTCATAAATATAACTTGTGCGCTAAGCTTCGTTCATTTCTCACCGAAACTGAACACTCTGGTAGATACGATATATACTCAGGATTACTGGTACACACCGATGGCCGAGATGAACTTTGGGCCTCCGCAGATGAGCATGAGTTCCGGTCCGCAACTCACTTATGGCACGATCATCAGTTCGACGCAGCTGTTCACCCAGGCTCTTCACTCTCGCTCGCAGCCCGTTGTCGCTTCTTCGTTGCCTGCGTCTTCGACAGCCCCACAAGCCGGTCGCGAGGACAAAACAGATTCCGCGAAGAAGGAATGGGAACGGGCCGCGCCAGAGAATCTCCGACGCATGCACACGAGTAAGGATTTACGACGAATCATTCACGCGGCCTCCGGTTCGACCTCCAGAACATCGTCTAACATAGGTGGAGAATTCTTGGGATACGTCAGTGGTCTAGACGTCACCGTGCCGTTGCTCAGCAGTCCTAGACTCGTGCGTCGACCCTACGATCCTTTGATATGCGAGAACACCATACTTTCGAGGGCAACCGCCTTGGCGACTGGTAGGCACGTTACGAAGAGCAGCGGCAGCGGGGTTGCCGGCGCTCCGGGTAACGGTAGTCCGATCATAGCGAGAAATCACAGATTCAGCGATCCGTGGTTCGAATCTATGGATGAGAACAATACACGATTGGCATTAGAAATCAATCTTATCCTGATACTGTCGCAAGCATTGGAAGGAGTGAAGAGTCCCAGACTTGCCTTGCGAGATCGTCAGCTCATTGCACGGGAGACCGCCACCGAACTAGGTGTATTTTTCGATTTTCTAGAACATCGCGGTACTCCTGATATCTGGCAGGTGAAAGGTTCTCTGATAGACGTAGATACAAGGAGTTCCAGGACGATTCAAGATACGAGTGATCCAAGGCAGATGAATTTACCGGCAAGACTCCAGAAGAATAGTACTATTGACAAAACACCGGTATGCTCGCCCGATCACGAAAATTCTTCATTGGAGATGAACGAAACTGAAATGCCAGAGAAAAGACTTGACGAAAGTATCCTCACCACTGGTGTTTTCAAAACGAATGTAAGCAGTGTGCAGTTTTTACCGTTAATGGGAAAATTACTCAAGACAGTTGTCGAATCTTTAGACTCGGCACAATTCTGATAAACTGTATTCTTAAAACATAGTTTTTATATATAGCATGTATAGACCTGAAATGAAATCTGGATCTGGACATTCCAGATACTTGATATGATACAGAAAAAAACAATAGATAATTTCGATACTTAAATTAACTGCACCTCTATATCAAACACCATTTTCTGACGTAATTGTAACTAGATATAATTTGACATAATTAAGCATTCGCGTGTACGTTATTTTGTAAAAAATTAAAAAAATGTTTATAAATGCTAATTGATAATGTAATAAACAAATTAATATTCTTTCCTACATTGTGCATTAAAATAAAATATTATTGAAATATTATATGTGAAAATAATGAAACGCTCGGATATGGAGGAATGAAGGAAATCTAATAGGAATCTAAAAAATATTCAATGTTTCTAATTTATCCTGTACTTTTTTATATCAACACTATTTATAAATGATTAAACATAATGTAATGCATATTCAGTAAATTAGAAATATTTTGTGTTTCTTAGTTTCCTAGGAAAACGTGAAAATATAAACTATGATTTGTATACACAGCCCAACTACTCAATGAGGGAAAAGAAATCATTAGGATCGCAATGCATATCCTTTACATTAAAATAATAATGACCATGTTTCTATTGACTTTCATTTTAACTTGATCATACCAACATTTATGAGATCCCACGGACTGAAATCCGCGAAATTCCATACTTTTTACAAATTTATTGCCAATCCGAAGACAAATATGCCTTGGATAAATTGAATAATAATTACTTATTACGCAGTACAATGATTTATCTATGAAAATTTACAATCACGGTATAATACTATTCCACTTTTGTCAAATACTGGCGCTTTCAAACGAGTCTCTTTCAAAATGCATTTTTCTTTCCGTACGGAATATTTATGTTCATAAACATAAAGAAGAAAAATAGAGAAAGTTATAGTGACCTCCGCTCGTTTTTATCGCGTTTATCTTTTTATCTTTAATCTTACAATATGTATATATGAATATACTCTAGTCTTTCACGCAAAAGCGTGTCCGTCTGTTTTCCGCACCACTATACAACATCGCGCACTCGCGCTAAGAACGATTAATAATTATATTACGCGCGATACAGTATAAAAATATAATCCTTGATATTAACGAATATTATGCGTTACGATAATAGCGATGGTGCGAGCGCCGAATTAGGCACACCACGTAAAGACATCCGTCGCCTTTCAGGATGAGCACCTGAAGGTCGAGTTAGATGCTAAGGGGGCAGATGAGGTAAAATGTTTTCGGGTGAGGGCGTGTCATGCGAATCATTACTTCTGGATGATGTTACTCGTTGATGATAGAAGTTATTGGAGACAGCGGTAGCAACAGCGGTGACGGCAGGGACGGTGGAACTAGTGGTAACTGTATTCGTTGAGCCGAGACCTGTGACCATCGTTGCGGATGTAGTGGCTGTGGTGGTATTAATCGTTATCGTCGTGATAACGGAAGAGGTAGGTTGACTTCGGGATCCTAGACCACTCCACGTTACGGGATTGACGCAACCCGATTCGGACGAAGGACAGTCTGGATGACGAATCGACGACGAACAATACGTCGGTGTAGTCAAAGGGCTAGAATTGCACATCGACGAAGACACGGTAGTCGCAGCTGATGTTACCAAAGGCGGTGGTGGTGGAGGAGGTGGTGGCGGCGGAGGCGTTGGACCATTAGCATCCGCCAATGGATCAATCGCATTTCCATCCCAAGCATCTGTCGATTTAGACTCGTCATTGTTGGTCACACTAGAGCTCGATCTTTGTCGCTTGGTATCACCGTACAGCAAACAGTGTACGTTCGGCGAACTGCTACGATCTCGCACTCCCTCTTGCTCCTCGAGGAATCGATCCATATAGTCCCTGCTTGCAATTTAATGGTTCTGTCATTCACGTTTGCAATAATTAAATTAAAGAACGTAATTACATTGTAAAGTGTATTAGTTGATATGTATTAATGTTATTGTCGAATGTTAGTCCAATTTTTTAATGAATGCATATGGTATATCTACTTTAAAAGTTTTTGTGTTTTAATGTAAAATTCAAAAATCGTGATAGAAAAAATACTCACGTGATACCGGGATGTAGAGCATATTTTTTCTTTTCTAATCGCGCTTTGTATGTAAATATGTCATGTCGTTCTGTCTTTTTCCATAAATAATAAAATTGTACTAATTCTCCGACCGATCTCGTTCTCACCTACGAAAGGAATAGAGATTCTTTCATTACTCACTTATACAAAAATAACTCTTAATATAATATGGGGAATTTAATTTATTTCGCTACGAAATTAAATAAAAGACATATAGAAAAGAGAAATATAAATGTTTCAAAATTTCTGGACTCTATAATTCTCAATAATCCTCTCTATAATCCCCTATTCTCTATCTTTCATATAAATTGCACGATTAAAATCGTATATTTCAACTTCACGTAGACAAAAATACGAGAATAATATAAGAATAATATTCCTATAGTAGGTTTGTAATTTGTTATGTCGTACAATAATATTGTTATACAGTAGTGAAGATTAACGATATTATTAATAATACATTAAAATTTTTAAAATATTATTTTTAAAAAATTAGAATCACTTTAAATGTTTCAAGCATTCAATAGTATAAAATAAAAATTTGTATGCTGTATACCTTATTTTTCTGTATAAGATGAAAATCTTTTCCATAAGTACGCAATCCAGTTTCAAAATTATGGCATTCTTCTTCTGACCAAAGGCTCACTGCATCCGTGGGAGGAAGTACGTTCATTCGACGCCTTCGCAATGCTTCTTCGAGATTATAACCGCATTGCAAGAGAAGATACAAAGCTTGCTCGTCATCTCTAATGTGAGAGCCAGCCGGCAATGAGCCGCCCTTTACCGCTGGAAGTTGCGCACGTTCTAGAAACTCTTCCGTATCTTCTTCAGATATATGGCTGGGATTCCACAACATCTTATCTTCGTTTTCGTATGGCAATGCATCGTCATAACGACACAAGCCTTCCGGTATCGCTGCTTGATAATCAGTACCGACCATGATCGTTTTCTTCCATTCCTCCTCGTCCGGACTATAATCACAGTCGTCTTCTTCTTCTTCACTCTGCGGCCTCGAAACACTTCGTAACAATCTCGAACTGCCACTGCTTATTCCCGCACTGACTATCCTATCTTCCGGACCATCGATTGCGCCACTGGTACTATTCTCTTCGATAGCGCTATCAGTAGCACTGGCTCCCCCTAAATTGACTATATCACCACACGCAACAGCATTAGCACTTCCCGTTGTAGGTGACGCTCTAGTTTTTTTCCCACTTCCACTTCGACTGCCCGTTATCGAACATTCCTCCGCTTCGGCATCTTCATCGTCATCCTCGTCATCGTCAATTCTACGTTTCCTATCTCGGCCAACTCCAACACCGCTATTGCCTTTTGTTGTTGATCCCGACAACGACGATGTCTTATCCTTCCCCTTTACCAGCATTTCTGTATAAAATTGCTTTAGGTCTGGTTCATTACTGGTTGCATCAGCCTCGTCGTCATCGTCATCGTCGTCCGCGTCGTTGTCACCTTTGTCCGAGTAACGCTCCTCGGTCTCAGGATCGCCACTTCCAGAGGGCAGCAACATGTGATCGGAACTGTTCGAATTCTCCGTCGAAGGATCACCGTATCCGTACATGGCAAGTAGATCTTTCAGTGGCATATCACCTTCCTTGCTCAAAGAGACAGAAATAGATCATTATTACATCGAGCGTACTTTACGGACTAAACATGGAATCTCACTACAAGAACGCACTTTGAGTCCAAAGTGTTGCGGAAACTTATCATAATTGTAATTATTTATGGGCTCGACTTTTTCATTTTCTCAGGCTTGATCCTAGAATAGTTGGGATCAGAACTTTGTTACAAAGTGACAGATGCGTATACATATATGTGCAAAGTGCCATTATCAGATATCGCGGGACTATACCTTTTGCAAATTGGACAACTCGTTGTGAGAATCCTCGCTACCTTCTAAAGCTTCTTCCTCGTCCAATGTTCGTTCGTCATCAAAATCATTTACCATCATTTCCGTCGCAGAACCCATATCATAATCTCGATCTGCCCTGTAAGGAGAACGCGATGTTACATGTAATTACCATCACAAGTGTATCACTCACACAATGTTACACCTAGGTCTCCCTCGGTACGCGTGACAAGCTACAAGGGTCCCTACGGTTAGTCGCTACGTAAGTGGATGCGCACTTACATGATTCTACAATCCCTATTCACCGAGATGGGAACATAACACACAAATGGTATATACACACATCAATGGATAGACGCAGCACCGGAATGTATCACCACGATTGTACAACAACTACGCTTCCCCCAGCAGTCTGCGTTGTAACGTTGTAATTCCTTCGGCACGGAGACAGGAGTCGGCGGTGGGTTTGGCTTAGCGTTCGACTTGAATGTTCGACAACGCAGGCGGGATAAAGACATCAGACAGGATTCTACATTCGGAATGCCGCGGGTGTCTAACCTCAACCCTTGACAACATTCGTGGCATTTGGCTGTGGCCACGGTACTCCACGACACCGGCGTGATATGCGTCACAGTTTCATCACAGCGGAAAATGATATTTCACGCAAACGTCACCGGATGCACAAAGACGCCGCGTCGTCTCGTCGATTAATCCCGCTTGCGGGCTATCGTGCGAGACTATCGCAAGTCCTTCCCTATCCGTCTTCGTTCGCGGGCGACAACAAACAAACACATGGACTCGACTCGGATATACGAGGTGTCAGAGACACGTAAGGCACAACATTTCATCGAGCGGGAAACCGAAACGTGCGACTCGCAACGCCGTGACGTATGCCGAATGCGAGGATCGCGAGTTACTGCGGGCGAATCAACCGAAAGACGCATACTCCATTATTTGTATTCGTCGCACTCCCATCGAGATCCGTGTGTTCGGAAAATGGACGCGACGCGCGACAGACGAGAGCGTCGTTACGTCTCGGAACACCTCGGAATATCTTCGGGTTCTCGCTCGTTCCCGCTCGTTCGCACTCACGAAGGAGAGGAACGGAGCGTTCCTCGCGTGCGTAATTCTAGAACGCAATGCGATTGGTCCGTGAACGATTAGATGGAGACATATCGGGGAAACACATTCGTGAACACAGAATTTAGATGAAAACTTCGAGAATTCCTTCATTGAACTCGAATTAGATACATATACATTTCGAATAAAGATCATCTAGAGTCACGATCTAAGAGTCACGACACAAAACAGCTATTTTTGATTGATCTATCATTTTTTAACAATTCCCGTCTATATTCAAATATCTATATTTTATTTTTAATTTAAAGGATACAATTAGGAAATTATTAAAAAAAATAATATTTTTAATATTACATATTTTTTTAAATGTCAAATTACGAATCGTTGAATTAATTATCAATTAAGTCAATCGGAATTTATTTAGTCGGTCTAAGATATTATCTTTTACTTATGATATAGATTTATTTGACTTATTGATAATGATAACTAATGACACTAATTTCAATAATAATGCTGTATAAAATATCGTAAACGCTCATTGTTTGCGCTTTTTCAACATTGACACGTTCCGAAACTCATCGAGAAAAGATTTTGACTTTCACTTCGGTCAATTCGTTACATTTAGTTGATATCTTCCATCTTATGTGATACGTGCCTGGATTGTGATTGCATACAAGAGATGAATGGTAGTAACGTTTCGAATATTTGACAAGGCGTGTCCATTACGCGAAGAATCAACACGAAGCATTTTGCATACACCTTCAAATATGCGAACGCAATAAGTGAATAGGTACAGAAACGTACATATAATTAATTCAATATTCCTAATATCGTAGCACGAAAATCACAAATCTGATAAAAATTACATTGTGAGTCATAATATATATAATTTTGTTATTAGATTCATTATTATGTCAGTGCATATATTTCTGTATTTTGCTAACATGAATTATTGTTGAAACATCATAAATTTATGCTAGAAAACGCTTTGAGCATTTTTGACAAAATATAAAACTTACTACTGACTGTTCTATTTATGTGTCTGTTTCAGAGAAGGTGTATTAAACACATATCGTATTCATATCGTTATTTATATTATAAGGAACTTATATAACCAAATTATCTGTTTAAGATTTCCATAAGTGGTAAGTATAAACTATTATTGAATTCTTTTTTAACTTGATACTTGATTGAACATGTCTAATTTTTTCACAGGTGAATCAAAATGCATTATGGAAAGAAGTCTCCCAGCATGGGAACGCCGTCTGTATATTCCCATGTAACTACTACTCGTAGTAGTGCAAATCTCAGATCTTCTAGATCGGCTCGCAGTGTAAAAATTCCATGGTATCAAAAGCCAATAGTGACGCATGCTTTTATACTTGACATTCAAAGAGGTGCTATGTTTACTGCTATATTTGCAGCGGTATGTGTTTAATCAAAACAATCTTTGTCTTGAAAATATTTTGTTGTAATTTAAATATAGAATAAGTATGCTTACAGTGCCTAGCCTTTTTTACGATATGTACAGCTGTTTTTGATATCTACTGCCTTTCACAAGCTACACCTGGCTCTACACACTATGGCTATTATATTATATCATATGAATTTGTTTATGTCGGTAGTCAACATGGTAAGTTTATTTTTTAAATATAAATATAAAATTTTTTCAAATATAAAAAAAATTGTAACTTTAAAAATGAGATCATAGAATTATATATTATTTGTTTCTTTTTAGTTCGAAACGCTCTGATCGTGTTTGCATTATTCTCCATGTTGGGTGGAATAGTTGTTTTTGTAACATCTTTAATGTTGATCACAGCTTTGCGAAAAGAACATGAAAAGAAAATGGTGCCATGGTTATATAGTTTTGCCATTTTTACTCTTTTCCGATTATTTGCTTTTATATTCTTTAGTATTGTAAATGACATGATATTCGCTTACAATATCATGATGTGTCTCCTGTGGATAATATTTGTGTGCATTTCTGCATATGGTTGGCTTATTGTATATTCTCTATATCTTGAACTATGTGATCTAACAAGATTGGAAGATCTGGCTCATCTGCGGGTATGATATATTTATTTTATCATATCAATAATTATATATGTATAACAAAAATTCTGTAGTCACAAATCTTAAAATTTAAATTTAAAATATGTTATTGTTTCAGATTGGTACAATGCAGTCTCTGAATGCATCAACAACACATTCCATTGCTGGTTCTCGACCTACAACGCCTCATAGTGCAGTATCAACTATGCCTGTTAATTAAATTATATACATATGATACATATGATACATACGATACATAATTTTATAGTAGATGAAAAAGGTATTTGTACATTTTATCTTTCGTAAAATAATTCCTTTATATAAAAAAGAAAATGATTTGCATGTTATCATCATATTATAAAACTATTGTTAATGCCAACATTTCATGAGCATTACAATTTCATCAGAGCGAAAAGCAACTTGTACTGAGTTTCTCTCAGAGAAACCAAAAGTGTTATAATTTTTTTTTCTTTATCAATATAAATTAATTCAAAAGAAACACTTTGCAATATCGTTTTCGGAAATTATTAAAAGAAAATAAACTTGTGCAAATATCTTTTTATCAACTAAACGTTTGATACATATATATTTTTTGCGCGCTAAGTATATAGTATCGAGACAAAATAATTCTTCGAGTTAAGCGAAATCACGAATGTATATACAGCCAGTACGCACAAAGAACTTGTTAAAAAGAGTTATATGCAATTTTTTCTTGCAACTGCACTACTTTTTAACAATTTTACGATAGACAAACTAATCAATATAACAATGTGCGTTATATAAATTCTCATTTACTGTAGAGTGATAGCATTTACTGTAGTAAACTATGTAGCATTTACTGTTTGCGAACTTATCGCGATATATTTCCGTCCACATACAAAATGAATTAGATATAAGCATTATATCGCAAATATTTCTCGTGACGTGTTCTTATATTTCCGTCCATTTATATATTATCGTATAAATAACTTTTTTATTATATCCAAATGTTTGTTATTAAAATTAATATTATATTTACATTTGAAGAATATAATTATTATACAATTACTCTTGTGACTAATTTCTAAGCCAAAGAAAAGTGAAAATTTTTACCTTTGATATATTCAATAAAATTTAAAATCCATAATTTTATGTCCAGGAACGTGTTAAAATTATTTTTATACGATATTTTGTATTATAAATACAAAATTTGTGTCTTAGAGTTGTTATCATATAGTCAAAATTTTATGAAATTAAGCGAATTGAATGCCAGTCTATAAATTTGTACAAATTATGTCAACTCACCAGTCAGATGATTTATTAATGCTAGATAAGACTGAAAGAAATATAATTATACAAAAAATTTTGCTCAGACATAGATATTCATAATATTCTCGCAATTTTGCGAGATTAGAATTATACGTGCAATAATTTATATAACTGATAGCAGAGTTACACTTTTGCACTAGGCATATATTTCTCTCTAATTATTTGAATATACAAATGTTCTTGCCACTGTAATCTTGCACTTCGTATAATCAATATCTGAAAAAGTTCATGAATAGAAATAATTAAAATATTATAAATAATTATAAATTATGCAAGCTGAACATACATATTACACAAAAATTTGAACGACAGAAAAAGATATGCTTAAAGTAATATACCGATTATCAGTCAAAGATAGGAGTATTGTGAATCGAATGACTCGTTTGTACATTTGCAGATCTCGTTGTTTGAGAAGGCCTCGACTTCGGGGTTTCACTCCTGGTGGCACGTTCGTCTTCAGAATCCGTATATGATTCTCGTGTCTCACCGACACGTTCCCTCGAGACGCGACCTCCTGTCACTGTGTGGCCGACTAACAAAATCGCTCTTCCCAGTAAACTTAACAGAAACACGCCGATCATCGACAAGACCTGATGAATCATACCAAGTGCTCCGGTAGCGACGTACATAGCGATGGCCAGACACATAATGAGAATTGCAAGGCGATAATTATCGCCATTCGCTGATATCCAAATCGCTCGGCGACGACGAGAGTTTACGCGATATTCATTACGATACAATTTGTTAGATTCATTTGCGAGTTGCAATCTACCTCACTTGTTTTCCATCATTAGAATGTCATGAAAATCGGCTTTGATTTTTCCTCACCGCTGTTGCAAAATTTTTTTGTAAAGTTCTCGTTGTGTGTGATTGTACTCCTCGTTGCGCGATTGAATCTCTTTTATCGTTATTATATTTTACACATTTATCGTGACATATCGATAACATTATATAATTCAATGAATAACATTAATTTAAGAATATTTAAATATAATAAGTTCAACATAATTTTTACAGCCAAAATATTTTAGCAAATTTCTGTTTTCGTTTTTGAGAAATGTTTCCATGACAGCTCTTATAAATATGGAAATGTGGTGTTTAATCATCTGAGGTGATTTTGTCAAAACGATATAATATTTAACAAATGTCATGAAAATTCTGACCGTTTAAATTTAATTTTTCTGAAAAAAATAGCAAAAATTATATTTTTCACTCATCTTCGTGCATACTTCGTTGGCTAATAATGTAACATGTTAATTGCTTCAAATTACCGATATTGTTAGATGTACAAAAGAATATTTGGAGTGTGTAAACAGTTCATTAAGAATGCAGTAAAAAAATCTTGTAAACGTTTTCGATATGACTAAAGGATGATATAACATTAATAAATTCTACGAGATATTATAAAGTCAAAGTACAAAACCGACGATTGCGACGTTATATTGCTGATCCAATCAGTAGAATGGCTAAGTAGTTCTTCAATGAAAATATTTCATATGCGACTTGTCGCTATCATAAAGATTTCTAATATGCATATTTGATTATCAATATTTTCTTAAAATCTAATTAACTAATTATCTATACATGACAAAATTTTAAGTAGAATATATTTCAAACATGCCTATGATTTTTTAAAGATACATGTCTTCTTTACATCTTACGCGAGAGATAAAGCGAGTTTATGCTTTGTAAAGAGATAAAAAATGAAAAAAAAGTGTTAAAACCATCAATAAACAGAAAAATTTAATTACGACTGAAAATTACGTTCGTATTGTCAAAACTAAAATAACGCTATTACATAATTAGTATTGCGCAACGTTACTTGTATATATTATACTGCAATTATACTGTCGTCATTGTTTAAAGCCTTTGAAATGCAAGTAATTGATGCCACGAAATGTCATTAAATAACATTTAACTTCGTCATTCGTGTTAGAAACGAAACATGCAGACAGATGATCTATTTAACTTTAATTGGATTTTATGAGCATTTAACATTCCGGATAAGAGGGAAATTTATTTTCCCTTTTTCCTTTTCTACCATCTTTTCTTCTCTCTCTCTCTTCTTTTCTTTTTTTTTTTGTTAGTAAAGTCTCTACTATTGCTCACTATTAAATGTTGCTTCAACTATGACGCAGCTCCTTAGACATTCTTATAAATGGGGTGCGGATTCCATCCCCCGCAAAGAGTGTGCGTATGCGCCGTTTCAGCTGATCGCAACCTCCACCGCGCTTCTAGAAATTATCGATTTCCGCAAGCTTGAAGTTCCTTGGTGGAAAATGACGCCATGAACAACTATCCAATGGGCGGCATCGACTTTGATCTTCCTCCATTGGTCGGCGAGCCGGTATAAACGGTGCTTACTCGCAACTCCTTTCAGTTGTGTTGTTACCCACTCACTGAACACTTGGTAAGTAGCCCATGATTTTTATTCTCTTATTATTTTTGCCATTTTATTGCCAATTTATTAATCCATTAATGCCATGCAATCGAACGGCGTATGCCGGCTATTTTCATTTTTCATTTGCATATTTCCCTTTATTTTGTTAATTTACTTTTCAAAGCGGTAACCCTTCGTCTTCCTGTCTTTTAACAATATTATTATTTATCAAATATAATAAATATGGTCATGGTCTTGAAAATAGTCCGTTCATTAATATCTCGACTAATTCGTCATGTCTTATAACGCTTTGAAAGTCGACTACGACATGTTTACAGCAAAGTCAGATTATTGGAATAACATAATTGTCGCATCAACAATATATTTTGCGTGTATGTGGGTGATACCTGGCATACCTTCTATCTTTATTTTATCTAGTAGAATTATCTATTTTATCTAGTAGAGTTTAACTATTCAGCGAAAAATCAATGTCCACTGACACCTGAATTGTAAATGACATTTCGCATAGGGTCCGTGTGATGCGACAGCTGATTCCACGTAATGCAAATTTGTTGCACAGCAAATTTTTTTGTGTATATCTACCAATCATATTCATCATCTTACAAAATTTCAACTATATAATAAAAAATATAAATAGAGATGGAATCGATGATTTATAAATGCAACATACTATTGGCACATCTAAAGAAATTTTTTTCTACAATTGCTAATATTTTTATTTATTTTTAATATGCAACATTTTTTTTTCTATTTTATTTTGCTTATGACAAAAAAATTATAATAAATTGTCAAGAAGGCGGTGATTTCGTTTCTATCAATGCTGATTAATGCTGGCTTAAATGAATGATCTTTTGACTTTTTTCTGAAAAATGATAATTATTGCAAGATAAGCGGTATATGTTATGATTAATTACGATTAACGTTGACCGGCGTTATCGATCCGTAATACGTGAAAATCGAATCGTAGAGCTGACGCGTCGATATAACGCTGTGATTTGCAAATTGCTTTCTAGGAGAAGCTTTTCCAAGCGTCAACCAACATTCAATTCGCATAAAAACGCATTCGAGAGTCTCGGTGACTTTGCCAAGTAATTTACCAAAGTGTGAATCGCGTTGGAACGAACAAAGAGCGATTTGTCGGCAAAGTTAAAACGTGTAACATTCACGTTTCGTGATGTATCGAGTTTATTAAACACCCACGTCGAAATATATATATATAACGAATAATGAGCTATGAGCAAATACTTTCGCGTGCAATTTTCGTTTTACTGTTTCGCACGTGACCTCTATGCCTCATTCATCGATCCCAATTCTAGCAATGGCTCGAAACGTTCCACTGTCGTGGAATTCTTTGGAAAATAATGCATGAACTCGAACGTGAATCATCGTGACCTAAACCGGAATAATTCGTGTACTAAGTACTCGTCGAACAGGTTCCGTAGAGGAAAAAAAATATTGCTGAACAATAATTTTAGGGCTTTCATAGTCTTGAGAAAGCAAGGGAAAGGAAGTATTCAAAATTTGGTTGGAGAATCAAACATAAAATTTAATATATACAATATTATTATTATATATTGTTATAATAATTATTTCGGCCAATCCCATGTTGACAAATAACGTTGATGTACACCTTGCTATTTTTTTCATATGTATATATATGTATATTCCGCGCTTTCTGTCAACGTGAACAGAAATAATCAATACAAGCCTTTCGTTTTGCACCGGCGTATTCTCGCACAAGGATATCACGAGAGTTCCGTGTTTCTCGAAGGCTATCCTGATTTCTTCGAGAGGACAGCAACAATCGGACGATATAAAGTTATACGATATAATAAACAAAAAAAAAAAGAAGAAATAACGATTTATTTATTTACCTCAATTTTTATTACATCGATAAATTATAATTGACTTTGAGGTATCGGGTAATTTATAATCTCTCGCGTAAATTTTAATTGCTCCAAGCTCCAAGTTGAAAACATAAAACCCGGCAATTCGAATAAAACTCTAATGTGACTTGCAGTGATAGTTACGCATGTGACGTTACGGAGGCACGGCACCAACGCAATGTGTATCTTCGTCAGGCAGCAAAAATAATTCAAACGTGGACTTTGCACCGCGCGTTCTTCACACAAGCTCGACATTCATTCTCGCAATACGGGTTTGTGTTGGTAAATTTCAAAACGCGCGAGCGTGAGACGATTGTTGGACTATGTACTGGAACTTTCAATTTGTTCGTTGAGTAAACAGCTACTTTATAACTTGATCAATATATAATCCATATAACTAAATTTTTTGTTTAAATCGAAGAAAGAGATAGAGCGTCATTATTGACTTCGAACGATACCGGCTATCTCTCGAATTTACATTAAAAAACATTCAGAGACTCGGAGATTTACGACGCAATCGTTTCCTCCAATTGATCGAATATTGCATATTCATGATGCATTGAATTCGTCGCGTCATTGCTCGCTTTAAGTTTAATAACAGATCGAATAACAGTCGCAATTGATATTTAATATAGACGCCGTTTCTACAAAACAATCGGACAAAGTCTGCTATACTTGGTCGCGTTCTTTGAACTCGAGAAACCCTACTCTTCACTCCACCATTTATTTAGTCTACTTATCCATATTTATCGACAATTTATATTACGAAACGGATTGAATATACAATCATCGCTATTGCGACTCTAATTACTAGTGTCACAAATTATGCAATGCCGCATTCAGCAAACGACGGAGCGGCATAAACACGGATGAGACGTACATATAAAAAATATGCCATATCTTTTTAGAAGTATCGAGATGCCTAATTATAATTAATATGTATTAATATTAATGTCTTATTATAAATTAATTGTAATCGCACATTAAGCCTTTCTGAGCGATCTTTTCTCGGTATTGGCGAGTTACCAAAGCGGGAGACCAAAGTTCTTCTCTCCTCATCCACGCCGTTTCTATTTCGGTATCGGGCCGTGTCGTAGCCAAGACTCTTTCTTTCGGGGGGGTAGAAACGAGGATACGTCCAATGCGGCATTACGTATGAATCCCACGACGCGATCGTGGGAAATCCGTTGCCGTCGCCGACGTCGTAATCGTGAGACACGTGTCGCGTAACGACGACAGACGGAGACGGAGACTCGTTGCCCGTTAGTAATCGCGATTAATCATTACGGTACGATGACTTCGATGACTCTCGTCCAGATATTTCAAGATCTCGAGTATGCATGGCTCGCAATGATAATGCGATATACATTCACGCAAGAGTGGATTTTCGACCGATCAATGGTCGCGAGGAGTGGCCACCTCCGTTCAATGATCATTGATCTTTGATAAATGCGCACTCGGGCCCGGCTACCTTCAACCAATGCGATATACTTTGCTTATCAGTAGCTACATTTTGTGGGAATTGGCGTCGCCCTGCAACATCCACTCTCGCGCGGCATAAAAGTAGCGAGTATCGGCTTAGCGCGACAGTCGATCACATCATTAGCATCGAGCCGACCGTTTCCGCCTGAGAATATTATACGATACATCTCTTTTCGCATCGTTTGTTCGCAGGAGAATAGTATGTATAAAGAAGTTCACCATCAGGAAATTAAACACGAGTGCTCGCGATCGGGAGGACTCCACGCATATCCCGATCACTTCAGGGAAACGTACCTTTAAGGCCACCAACTAGATACATGAACATCTGAAGGTTCCTGTCCTCTGGTAGGACTTTGTATATAGTGTACATAGGATCGCTTGCTCTGATAAAAACAAGGGGGGATTCCGCTGGGAGAGGACGAGCGAGCTCGAGGGATCTCTACTACGCGGGGAGAAATTAGACGGAAATTATCCAAGAGTCCTGCACTATCCTCCACGAGATATCCACTCGCGCACTTTAACAGCACGCATCAGCAGTAATAAGAGGAAGATAATAAAAAAAAAAAAA